CAGACCGGTATGCTTTTAGCACCAGCTTCTCCACCTCTAGAGCCCACTGCTGCAGGTTTTCGTTGATGCGCTGCACGCGATCTTTAAGCTGCGCACGAAAGACGTGTTCCAGGTTAGCGTCGCCGTATCTCGCCTCCAACGCCTCAAGGAGTTGCTCATAAGTCACCTCCTCACCGAGAGCTTCCAGAACTGTTAAGGCCTGGTCGCGCAGGCCTAGTGTGAGAGCAGTCATGGCCTGACTTTTTTTCCAGCCGTTCGCTTTCATAACTGCCTCGAACTGGATTTTGTAGGCTGACCAGGAAGAAGTCCCGTCAAACGGTGGCACCTTGAACCCACGTAGTGAAGGTGCTGAAGCTACTACGGGAGCTGTGGTTCCGTCCCCAAGTTTGAGTTCATCCAGCGTTTTCTTAACTTGGTTGATTTGGGTCTCAGCTTCCGACAGGCGGTTATCATGTTGAGCAACCTTATCCTTCACCTCCCTTATCTCTTTCCCGAAGGTAGCGTGAAGGTCCTTCATGAGAAGCATCTGTTCTTCCTGGCCGCCCCGCGACTGCTCTTCCAACCGACGGACCTGTTCCTCCTGTCGGCGAGCCTGTTCCTCCTGCCCTGCTCTTTCAACAGACGGGCCTGTTCCTCTCGTCCGCGCTGCAGCTGCTCCTGTAGCATCGCCATCAGAGCACCTAAGTCAGGTGCTGCAGGTGTAGGAGCTACTGACGGGCCCGCAGCCTCCGTGGCTGGCAGTTGGCCCTCCGACGTCTGCGGCGTTGCACCACCAAATCTCCTCTGGTCCGTCTCATGCTGGCGTTGACTGCGGGTACGGACACCCTCCGTTTCCTCCTTAGGTAAAATCGGCATGATTTTATCCCACTTCTGACACCAATTGTTACGAGCTTGAGGTTCGTGACAATAAAAATTGCCGATAAAATTACCTAAATTAACACTTTAATTTTCTTTACACAAATTGAAACTTAAAACACTAATAATTAAACACACTAATTCACTTTATTCCGCTCCGAAGCTTCGCTTGTCTCGCCAAATCCAATACTGCCCCGATCGCATCTTGCAGCGCCTATATATACAAACTAGCTGTACCCCGCGATTTCACCCGCGTATATCACGCGTCTCTGCCGCGTGACATGATATGACACCTCGCTCATTTAGTTCAATCATTTTAGCTAAAAAATTAGCAAAATTAATGGAGTACTTTTATCTATCGGCATATACACGTTATACAGAAAATTTAAATTTTATCCACTCACCCTCCCCCCCCTATAATTTAGCTTTCTATTGGTAAAAATTGATTAAAATCGGTTGAGTAGTTTCGGACTTATTTGGTACATATAAACTAAGAAAAACATCCTTCCTCTTTATAATATTATATATATAAGTATAGATAATGATTTTCTTTACTATTTTTTACGTATCTTTTTTATTTTTTTTGTTCTTTTTTTAATATTTGATTATTTTATTTTTATTTCTAATATCACACCCCAGTGACACCCGCATCGCATGGTGCTGGCAGTGTACGCGATATAAGGATTTTTCGACGTTACTATTGAATATTTTAACACGGAAAAGTAGTTATTGTGAGATAACTATAATAGTTAGACATATGGTATTGCAGACTTTTATGTAGATATTGATGTCCTCCATAAAACTGTAGCACATCACTTTGCTCTATTGTCAATAGTTTCCGCAGCGTACGCGATATAAGGTTTTTTTTTTGGTATTTTTTCACATCTTGGGTTACGAAGTTTTCATACGGATCCCTAAATTTTTTGAAAACGTTCTATAGCCTATGTTCATCAGAAATAATGTAGGATTCTAATGGTGAAAGAATTTTTCAAATCGGTTCAGTAGTTTCAGAGCCTACTCAATTCAAACAAACAAACAAACAAATCTTTCCTCTTTATATTATTAGTGTAGATTAGCAATGAATCATCCGGAATATTCAAGTAAATGCGCGCAAAGCGACGAGTGTTCGAGTGTAGATTTTCTAGAAACTTAGTTCTCGGATGGCGCTGTCGGTTGAAAGATTTGTGATGTCATTTTCTGCAAAGCTCCCCTCGCTCTCGTTCCTGACACTAGATGGCGCTAGTGAATGACGTTGACTTATTCACGCAACATTAATATAAAATCACAAGTTTGCTTTGTTAAATGTGTATTATTTATGACTGCCTAGTTGGTCAAGTGGTTGTAAACGCGACGATAACGTAATTACGTAAAGCATTGCGGTCATTTTCGCTGGTCCAAAAAGTTCTTTTGAATAGGATAGAAATCTATCGGAGACTAGCAAGGGGAGTTTCTTACTCCTGGGCGCAGTCCTTCTTTCATTTCTGAGAAGGTTGTAGGGCTAGGAAAAGTCCGCCGTGCTACCCCAATGGTGCACTTCATAGGTCTTCGATATATCTTTTGTTAATTTATAAATTTGGAGGTTTTCTCACGATGTTTTCCTTCACCAAATTACACTGGCTGTTTTATTCACTTAATAGAATAGTACCTGGATGACCATGATGGATGATGGTTTTTTTTTGGAAATCGTGTGTTTTGGAAATTATATTTAGATACAAATTACCGACTGATGAAACATGAATAATATTTTTTGATCTTATTGACATAATAGAAAAAACTGAACCGGTTATTTTAATAAAAAATCATGAGTGCAATTAGTTTAATTAAAATTTTCGTATTTTTAAAAAAATACTAAAAAAGGACTCGAAATAACAGATTTTCTCACAAAAAAGGGAACTTGAAAAAAAAAGGCAAAAAAGTCGGATCGAAGACAGGGCGCGAACCAGGGCACTTCACGATTCACTACGATTTCACGACGGCCCGATATCCACTTGATTACGATCACTAATAAAGTGTCAAGTTTACCTTCTTATATTGTAGCAGTTTTTCACTGCCTTAAAACACGGACAAAACGACACTTTCTAAAAAAATCCTAGCTAGATCAATTTATTGCCCCCGAAAACCCCTGAACACAAAATTTTATGAAAATCGTTGGAGCCGTTTCCGAGTTTCCGATTCCACATGTGTTTTGTATCAACAAGCAGCAGTATAGGCATATAAATTTATGATAAGATACTACAAATCCGCGTGGTAGCTCAGGGGCTAAGCGCTCGCTGTAAATGTCACCACAGTAACACGCGCAAACAGCAATCCGGGTTCGAACCCCACCGGCACCAACAAAATTGTTCATCACAGTTTTAAGTGCGGTTTTACCACGTGTTCGGTGAAGTGGTAGAGAATAACTTCGGGAGGAAGCTTGCATGTGTAAGTAGTCGTTGGATGTGTAAAATTGATGAATACGTGAAAACCCCTAATACGCATTGTAACAATGCGAGGAACTCATTCCTGCCCACAAAACACTATTGGTAACCCTGTGCACAGTCGTGCATAGTTGTTACACAATATGTAAGCTGCAATATTACTTACTTTATATGAGATTTATAATACAGTTTATTATATATTAAAAAGCCTTCATATTTTCAGACATAATAATATTTTTGAGTCAGTCACGGTTTCATAGCTAAAGGTAAAAGGCATATTATATGAAATAAAGCAAATTTGACTTAAATAAAGGTTTATTTTAATTTTAACCATGAGTAAAACTTCTTTTTTCTCCTGATTCACAGGTGTGTCAAAAAGTCTATTTTAGAAATCCAGTATAATGTAGTGGGTTATGTCGAGATTAGTAGTATTTATACTAGAGCACCTTCTTCCGGCAATTTCCCATATTATAATATTTTCTCTTGATTCAGTTCTGTATCTAGTTATTGTTACAGTAATATGTTAATTCAGTGTTACATACTCTTTTATTTGTTTGTAAGGAATAAAATACTTTTTTTCATTTATTATTTGTTTTCTTTATACGTCATCCTGGAGAAACACTTTACAGTTAGTGATTGACAACTTTAAAATGTCTTTAAGATGATAGTAAATCAATTTGGAAAAACGTCAACCACTTTCTTTTCCTTAATTAGCAATCAGAATAATTAATGTAGGCAAATGACGAAGAAAAAGTAATAAAAAAAATCTCAAGCGTTCTGCCCTTTTAATGTTATTAGTTCAAAATGCTTGATAACGCATTATTTTAATTTATTTTACTGTGCACGTTAACATTCGTAAGGGTCGATCGGTAGGGAAAACCGTTGAAGGCCATAAATCACACATCGTCACTGAGCGCGTGACATCACCTGATTTAGCTCCAGGTGACGAGTGATTCTCGCGCTCAAAATGAATGTCAGTGTCTTATATATGGTGGGTAGACACGTGATGGGGCGGTATTTGCTCGGGTCTCTGGTATCCTGATCTTTAGGAATCAAGTGAGTGATCCCAGTAGTGAAGAGGTTCGGGAGCGACTTCTGATCGAGAGCCTCTTGAAACTGTCGGGCGAGCACAGCGTAAGACACTACGAACCCCTTCAGCCAGTAATGATGCAGCCCGTGGAGCCCCGGACTTTTCCAGTTCGGGGCCCTACGGACCGCCTCAGCCACGTCTTCCGGCGTTATGGTGACGGGGTCCATAGGCGTAATTCTCGCACTCTGGCTCGTCACAACTTCTATCCAAAGGTTCTCGCTGTGGTTTACGGACTCTGACCACAGGCCACGCCAAAATGCGACAGTTTTAGCCTGATCCGGTCCTTGGTCCGCTCCACATACCTTTGGCCCCTCCAATGATTATTATTATTATTATTATTAGTATATTAAATACATTATTGTTTATATAATTAATAATTATTTGACGATAATTTTAATACAAGATAACCTACCACCTCATTTTGTTACAGGGTAACGTAAAACGCGACTATAAGCTCCAGAAACTTTGAGGCCTCCGAAAGATTGTCTCAGAAGGAAAATATTTTCCATAGTTGCCCCGTTTAGCCTGCGGAATGGCAAACATAGATTTTTATTATTATTGAATTGTTATCAAGAACCCTTCTTCTATTTCACTTCTCTTTACAGCCTCTTCTACATCCACGACGACTATTTACGATTATGGTCGTGTCGTTTTACCGTCTCATCGAATTGTCACATCGTCAGAAGACTTCAAATCAAGTACCTGAAGAGACGTTTACCCATCCAATGTCATCGGATCGGCACATGTCAACCTCACCTTCTATAATACAAGATTACGGTGAGCTACCTGATATACCTGACAATTTATTAAATACTTCTGTACCGACATCCATATCTATGTTAATATCCGATGCCACATCGATTAACTTTCCCAGTGAAGATATCGAAAACTTGCCACCGGCAACGGCATCTCTGTCACAAACTAGAGTTGTAAGGCTAGATGACCAACCATCAGGGGAAGGAACTTCATCTTCTTGGAGTACACAAGGGACAATGAAAAACATAGAATTCACCAGAACCCAGGAATTACTAGTTCCAGCTCCATTTGATTCATTTGAGGCATTCCGATTACTATTAGACGATAATATTCTAGATTTGATAGTGCGTGAAACTAACGCTAATGCCATTCGAGTACTGAAGGCCCCTGGTGTCAAACAACACTCACGAATAATATCCTGGAAAGACATAACACGAACTGAATTGTTAACATTTCTTGGGTAAGTCCTTCACACAGGTACAATCCGGCTGAACCGACTCAGCGATTACTGGAAAAAACATTGGTTATTAAATATTCATTGCTTTGCACTATATATGTCACGCAACCGTTTTATGCTAATATTGCGTTGCCTTCATTTTTCATCTGAAACAAATGAAGAAGACCAATTGGCCAAAATTCGTCCGATAGTAGATCATTTTAACAATCGAATGAATGATATTTATTACCCAGGCAAACAACTATCTCTTGATGAATCGATGGTATTATGGTGTGGACGTCTCCAGTTTAGGCAATATATTAAAAATAAGCGCCATAAGTATGGAGTAAAGTTATACGTACTTGCAGAACCAGAAGGCACAGTAATCAAATTTCAAATATATGGTGGTGCAGGTGATGATACGTCCGGAATAGGACATACTCAAAAAATAGTGTTGAAGCTACTCAAAGAGAAATTGGACTCGGGACACAGTGTCTATATGGACAATTATTATAACTCCTATGATTTAGCTGTCAAATTATTAAATCGCCAAACTTACTGCACGGGGACTTTAAATAAAAATCGAAAAGGTAATCCAGTAGACCTAGCTACTGTCACGTTGCGTAAAAGAGAAAACAAGTCTTTTTTTTAATGGTGTACATGTAGGCAAGTGGAAAGATAAGCGATGTGTGCTTTATTTATCGACAGAGCACGACAACGAAATGATGGAAGTCACCAACAAAAGGGGCACTGTTCTCGTAAAACCATCAGCAAATATACATTATAACAATTTTATGTCTGGTGTTGATTTGCAAGATCAAATGCTTTCGTATTACCCCTGTGAAAGGAAAACTATGCGATGGTATAAAAAGATATTCTTTCACACATTGCAGATGAGTTTAAGTAATGCGTTCCATTTGTATAATAAATTTAGTAAGAATAGCAAACTTAATCTTTACGATTTTCATTTACATATTTTGGAGAAATTATTACCAAAACCACCACAAATAGCTGAGAAAATGTCAACTAAACATATTTTAACCAAAATTGAAAACGTAAAGACGCGACAAAAAAAGAGGGTAAGAAGACAAGAACTATCACGGAAGTAGTTAGAAAAGAATGTAAAGGCTGCAGAGAAAAGAAGAACAGAGTCGCCACTTTGTACAGGGTGGGGCAGCATAACTTCCTTTTTTTTAAAACCTAATAAAACACATTGTATGAATCGGAAAAATTTTATTTGGTTTTTACAATGTAAGTACATACTTAAAGTTTTGTTTTATTTAGTTTTGAAGATCAAATCAGGTAGATGACGTCCCTTATTCTCTATACATTGAGTATACCGATTTCTGGTGTTTGTCATAACTCTTTGAAGCAGAGCAGGCGTTATGTTGGCAATTTCTTCCTGGATGTTGTTCTTTAAATCTTGTAGGGTCCTTGGACGGTTCACATAAACACGGGATTTCAAAAAACCCCATAGAAAAAAGTCACAAGGGGACAAATCGGGAGATCGGGCCGGCCACTGCAAATTGCCCCTGATTGAGATAAGGCGTTCTGGGAAGTGTTCTCTCAAAACAGCCATCGATGCTCTTGCAGTGTGTGCCGTTGCACCGTCTTGTTGGAACCAAATGTCTCCCAAGTCCAACGCATTCAGCCGGGGTAAAAAGAATTCCTGTAACATGTTTACATACCGGCCCGAATTCACTGTTACTGTGACTTCATTTTCCTCAAAGAACCAGGGACCAATAATTGCAGCTGAGGAAATTGCACACCACACTGTGACCTTAGGTGAATGCAAAGGCCTTTCATGCAATTCTCGAGGATTGGTGTCAGCCCAGTAGCGCATGTTTTGTTTGTTCACGGATCCACACAAGTGAAAATGTGCTTCATCACTAAAAAAAACAATAGCGTCCTCAGGAACGACATCCAGAAGAATCTCACATGCGTTCCTGCGAGAATCGTAGTCACGTTTTGACAGTTCCTGTACAGTCGCCATCTTGTATGGATGGAAATGTAAGTCTTCATGGAGAATTGTCCGCACAGAACGACTGGAAAGTCCAAGGGCAGATGCATGTTTGCGCGCAGAACGCCGTGGTGATCGCAACATTGAAGCTCTGACTGCCTCAATGTTCTCAGGTGATCTAATGGGCCGAGGGCCTCCAGTTCTTCGTTTTATCACACTTGCAGTTTGTCTAAACGTAGTGACCCACATAACAATTGATTTTCGGTCTGGAACAGGGGCCAACGGGGCTAAATTAAAGCGATTTCGAAAGGCGCGCTGAGTTGCAATCACAGAACATCCGCGCGAAAAGTAAGCCTCAACAGCAAACGCACGCTCCTCACTGTTCCAACGCATTATGGCGACTGAGCTGTCTCGACTAAACTTTATAGCCCCCCCCTCTCGAACGAGACCACTAGCGCTCCACTACGATGTCACCTGACCGAATGGCGCGCATTACAAATAAGGAAGTTATGCTGCCCCACCCTGTATGAATGTAAAAGCTGCGTTGGAACGCCAGGCTTTTGCATAGAATGTTTCTTTGAAGTGCATTTATAATTTCATAATCCTTGTGTTTCAAATGTTTTTTTTATTTTCAATTAAACTTCTGATAATTATTTAATTCGTTTGATTTCTAATATCCTTCAATATCAAATAATTAAGCCAAAAGCATAACTAAAACATCACAAAATGAAAAAAAAAGCAATTACACGGCGCCGTGTGTTTGGCTGCCCATAGCTCCGTAGGCCTAGTACACGGCGCCGTGATATTGCTTTTTTTTTTTTAAAATAAAGGTTACACATAAAACTTACACATAAAACTTAATTACAAATAATACAAACACTCAAAATCTATGGCCACAGTAGAACATTAATTAATAAAAATTGCACACAGAGATGCATCTCACAACGCAAGTAGCATTGAATGTGTTAAATTTGGGATAATTTCAAATTAAAGTAGAAGCCTTATTCACTCATACTTAAAAAACTGCATTAACAGTACATCTTTATTTATATATTTGAACTTATGTTTAAAATGTGGCTATTCTTTGAAAAATAATCCTGTATATACATTTTGTTGTTTTTTTATAACATTGAACCTCGAAGATTTATAAACGAGCTTGCAGTCCTCTTGATGGTAGTATGGTTACTGGTATAAGGTTGCAGAGACAGTTGTATTCTCGAAGATTTATAAGGAATGCTTTCCAACCTGAAATTATTATACTTGCTCTTTTTTTGTATGGATTTCATTAAATATTATAAAGCTTTCTTGCAAGCTGCGGTCTCAGCTGTGGTACTTCTCCAACTGCAATCTCAATTACATTAAACCTATGTCCAGAACGGATTAAACATTATGAAATTGCAAATTGAGGTGAAATAAAAGGAGGAAATATTACGGGTAATTTTAAATCTTCTAAAGAACACGTCTACATACATTATTGTTATTTTTTCTTGGAATAAATGAAGTTTTATCTTTTATCGTCATTCAAGAATCAGCTTATAGTAATTCGATGACGTTAAACAATTTAATAATTCAATTTAAATAGAAAATAGTAAAAATATAAAATGATTGCTTGTAGTACAAAAGTCATAGATGATTTACATATCTACATACAAATATTAGAAAAAAGCAGGAACACATATAGATAAAACAAAAAAAAATATTTAATAATTTATTATAAATTTTGGAAAGAATAGGACCGTGATTTTTAACATTTCATGAGGAGTTCAGAAGTGGTTTTGTGATGGACTGAAATGAGCAATGATAAATTTTGGAAGAATATCATCTCATATCATCTCGGATGTGTAGTAAAAGGTGACAGAGGTAAATTGAAATAGAAGAGAGGCAGCAGCATCTTCCTGATAACTTAATAATTACAACTATGAGCTGTAGTTGCCAGTCCGCATAGGACTCTCCCGTAGATTGATTATATGCAATGGACTTTTGTTGGTACTGTACTGTTGACTGTGTAATGTTTTTTTTATTTTTGTAGGAGTTTTAATAGGTTCAATCTTTTAATTACTATTTTAATAGTAATTTATAGATTGAACAAATAATCAACCAGCTTTTGTCTTTGTGTCTAGAGTACTTGAATGAATGAGTTAATGAATGTGATGTATCATAATGGCGAGTTTCGACGGCGTAAAGCCGTGCTATAGCTGATCTGTTCATTTCGATCCAAGTCTTACTCTAGAATAAATAATGGTGGGCCACAGAAGACACATACCTTCTGATGAACAGTATGCTGGTTTTTATCCTAATCGTTATTAAATTAATACCGCTCGGGTATCCTGTGATGAAGCACGGCTATTGTTAGGGATGTAATTTGGGTAATTTTAATAGCTTCACAATAATAAAAACTTGACAAACAACACATTTCCAAAGACAGACACATTGCAAGACTAACAAATTGTAATTATTATTCATTGCAGCCTAACAAAGTCCACTGTAAACCCAATTTATTGGGAAAATGTTCAAGCTATCCTAACCTCGTCTATTTGTTTTATGGTTTGTAGACGCAGTTTTGTTTTTCTAGTTATTAAGGGAAAAACTCTGCTGCCCATGTCCATTGTTTTCCTCTGTCGCCTCTACGACACACACGAGGCTATATGGCGTAATGGATATACTTACACCGCCATTATATGATCAAATGAATTGTATTTTATAACATCCTTCAAGAAATAGTATTTATAAATAATATTTATGTGTTAAACTTCAACAAAATTCTGGTCTTTGTGTGCACAGCGCACATGAGTGATGTGTGTGTGTGTGTGTGTGTGTGTGTGTGTGTGTGTGTGTGTGTGTTTGTGTGTGTGTGTGTGTGTGTGTGTGTATGTGTGTGTGTGTATTGTGTGTGTGTGTGTGTGTGTGTGTGTGTGTGTGTGTGTGTGTGTGTGTGTGGTGTGTGTTTGTGCATTGTGTATACGAGTTACATTAGTTTGCATGTGAGTAGATATAAGTTTTAATTTTAAGTTCAGGTAAGATTATATTTATAGGTAGTTAATTTAGTTGGCTATTATTTGTGTATTCTA